TTCAGAAGACAAACAACAAAATTCAGCGTTATATTTACAGAATTTCCAAATTTTCCATTTTGTAAATATAACGCTGATTTTTGTTGTTTGTCTTCTGAATTAGTATCATATATTATCAAATGCAAAAATTCCTTAAAGCGTCCTATCATAAGAAATACAACACATTTCATAAGGAAATTCTGTTGTATACCCGCAATTAAATACACATCAGTGAAAGAAAAATAGGCCCTGATAATATAAATATTTTGTTCTGTTTGAAACTTCTCTAGAATTGTTGTTTGCATAGAAAGTTACGGAATATCTAAAATTACATTTGCATTCAAAAAAGTATTGATTTCTTAATAATATATGAGTACTTATGGAAAAATTTAAGTGAATTTATTTATGGTTATACATTAAAACAACAACATACTGCAACACAGGAACCTGAAAAATCGAATCACAATGCATAAAAAACAAAACTATGGTCTGAAATAAATAACATTGAAACAATACGTTACAACGAAACTTTAGAAAACAGTGATACCTAGAAAGCAAATGTAGACTTTTGACATTAATAATTTCTATTAATCTCTTGTGATACCTGCTCACTCGTACCATGCATATCATAATTTCCTTATCTCAATATGGTGGTTTATTAGAGTTTGGAGAAGCCAGCTCCTTTCCTTTACTAATTGGGTTCAAGCTTAGTGACCTTCAAAGCATTGTTTAGAAGCAGAATTCCACCGAGTAATAGCTCTACTAAAAGTATTTATCAGATCTTTATAGAATTCATATCAAGATTTCGCATAGCCAGTTTTATTTGTTTATTATCTTCGATTTCAAGAACTTCATCAACCGGGTTTGCTTTGTGCGGAAGTGTGTATCTTGCATAAAAACGAAATTCATCTCTAGGCTTTTCTAAAAATCCTTGTGAAGCATCTTAAGATTTCGCAGACAGAGATACTCTGTCTGCCATGTGCAGGAGAGCTCTTTTATTGATATTTATATTCGTTCTTATAGCTTCACATCTATACCTTCGCGATGATCTCATTTTCTGATGTTAGCGGGTATATTTCATGTTCTAGCTGCCTTCATATTCAAACAGGCTTAAATTGTACATTAAAGTGTAATTAGACACCTTATTCGAAACACACACCTATTGCTGCAGACTAAAACTCTTATTTCTAGTAGGTGGTGTTTTATTGCGGAACCCCAAAATATAGAGATGCCATAAGAGAAAGACAATATTACCTTCAAAAGAATCAATGAATTATTTTTAAAAACTAAGCAATCTCGCTGAAATTATAAATATTCTTTCACATTCATTTAAAAATGCATATTTTAAGAACAGATTGATATATGATTCTAGAAATTTTCATAACAGGTGGCTAATCGAAAATTCACTAGCAAACGGTACTCGTATAACTTATCAATCCAGTCTTTATAACGGACTAATTTTTTATTTAAGCTAAATCCACTGTCTAGTATGTCCTCACTAGCTCTTCTAAACGCTTCAGAAGATAAAAATGTTTAACTACATGAAGAAATTTATTGTACATAAATACCTAGAGAATGTACTGAAATTTAATGTACACTAATATGTAATGGACTCTGTATCAATATAGAATAATTTAATTTATCCTGAACTAAACTGAACTTATGCTATAGGAACCTATAGCATAATATTTCAAAATAAAATAAATATTTTTATTTTTGAAGATAATAAATTCTCTCTGTAAACTATACCACCAACAGATTCAAAATCGTACAAAACGCCTAGGAATTATTTACTTTCCAGCGATATTCATTTTAAATAAAAGTTCTCACTCAAATAGCTTAAAAGATATAACATGCATTTTATTATTGTATGAACTTATTTTAACAGTATATCGATAGCACAATTTTAGAGTATAATAAAAGGTACTATTGTTGGAGAAAAACAAAGCATATATTTTGAAGTTCAAAAGTTTTCGACCAGACCTAAAAGCTTATAACGTCGCTTGAAACTTGGCCAGAACTTGAATACCAGAATGCAGCTTTTCATTCTACCAGAAACGTAACAGAATGAGTGATCTCAGATGATGATAACTCATTATTTTCTAAGAGAAAAATAATATTTTATAATGATTATCGGTATTTCAACTAATAAGCTAAAGTTGTTATTTTTCACAAAAATTTCGATTTTAAATTGAAGCCTTTCTTTAATTTTACCCTTCAACTAAACCACAAGATTTTCCAACTAATAACTCTTGCCCAACTAATATGGGCAAGAGTTCAGTTAGTTACAGAACAAAGGCGATCTTTGCCCCCCACCCTAATTTTAGATGTAGGTGTCTTCCGATAATGAAGATGCTGTTTTGTAGTTTAAACCAGTAAATATAAATCATTGATAGCCAACCCGCGGCAAGCTTGCCACAGTGTGGTACGGCGGAATTTCAACGGTGGCACACGAAGAATTATTGAAGAATTAAAAGATTTGAAAAATTAATAATATCGTCTGTATCGACGGGAAAATTTAAAAGATTTGAAAATATCGTGAATATCCACAGATTCGTGGGTATTTCGGATAAAAGAGACATTTTCGGTAGCACTGTTTTGTACAAATAGCAATGACATGTATTCCATTACACAGAATGTTTCAAGCATTATTATTCTATCAAAAATGCTAAAATTCAATTGAAAGCCAACCTAAAATATTTTAGGATTTTAATTCACTTTCCCTTTTTAATAAAGTTAAATGCTTTATTTATGCAGAACTTAGAACTTATGAATATTAATCATTGATGTACGTAAATATTTTACTGAACCTATCAACAGTTTCTAGAATATCTGAATTATAATTAGAGTTGTCTTGTTAGTGGAAAAGTTTATTATATCAACGAACTTGATGACGGGTATAGAAATTATTGGTAATAAAATTTTCCAAACAAAAGAGATCTATAGGTTAAATTTAACGGCAAATTATAATTCATCTGGATAACTTAGATGCCTTTGTTCCAACTGATGATTTATTTATTATGTATCTAAATGCAGAATTTTTTTTCAAGCCATTAATAAAAAATCTTGATGTATTTTCTAAATTTTGGGGATCAAACTGAATCTAGAAAATTCATGAGACTTGCACCTTGCATCTAAATCTGATTAAAATCCATTTTAAGAATTATATTGATTACATTTATAGTCTCTACAGTTTTGAATTAGTCAGAAGATATGGCAAAGAATTGCTATATTAGTTTACTCCTTAAAAATTCATTTCTGAAAGAATTGTTTAAAAGGTTTTATTAGGCACTTCAATTTTTCCAACTAGCTGGTCGCTTAAGTTTCTTTCCAGTCCCTCTTTATTGCGTCAGCTTACTACAAAAATATATAAATGAAGGAAAAAACGGAAGCATCAAAATGACTATAAATGATTCCATCCAAAAAGGAATGATTTTTCCAGTTATTTAGGTATTATGAAATGGAATATTCCCACCATGTTTTCTTTGTTTCATGAAAAATAGTCAGCTTTGCACTTATGTTTGTTTTAGCTGATTATAACAAAACACGCAAAACCTATTAGCCGACTAAAATGAATGCCTTCGTGGTATATTTTCTAAGCTAAGCTGGTTCTCATTTAGGTTAGATATGAGGCAAACCACAAAAGCTCCCACCTATTCCTGCCTATTCGTTAGGATATGTCAGCTGCTTTATTACTATTTAAGGTTTTTATGATAGTTCTTTATGATAGATATAGATCTTCTGCTGTTGGCATCCGTTCTGTGTTCTGTGAGCTTAGGAACTGGTGTTCTTCCACACTAATTTTGATGCCCTGTTGCAGCTCTGTGCCCATGTTTGGGTCATCGTGCTTGAAACTTTTGTTGAGAATATGCTGGACCACATGCAGCGTGTAGCTAGCACCTGTGCAGATATCAATAGTCAGATTTAATGGATGGTATACCTTATCCTAGGCAATTTTAATGACAGTAACATACTTGTTACGTGTGCCGCTGCAGAATTTTCCATGAAACCAGCTTAGCTCTCTCACTTTCCCTCTTTGAACTGCCAATTCATTAGTGAACCAGGGGCTTCTACTGAGTGCAATGTACGTTTTTCATCACTTTCTCTCAGACTGACATGATTGTGCTGGTGAATACATTGTGCGCTTGGTCAAATTCTTCTGGATTATTACTGTTGTTGCATATATTAATTAGATGCTGTTCGGTTCAATTACCAGTGGATAGCGATCCTGTTTACCCAGTTCCCGGTGGGTTATCGCTGTATGGTGAAAAGCCGCCTGACAAGTAACTGAAATTACATTACCGTGTCTTTTCCTGGAATCCAAAACTTGGCTGAAATAAGGAATTTTTAATCATTGTCTAAAGTTCTTCAATTAGCATATGAAATATGAAAAAAAGCGAAAATTACTCGTTATATAGGCTAATATGAGATTCTATTCTATTTCTGATGCTAATTGAAGACGATGTTAATTGAAGACGATGCTAATTGAAGACGATGTTAGCATATTTAATATGATAAATATAATAGAACCTCTTATTAGATCATCTAGTATTAAAAGAGAAGACATAACATTCAAAGGATGATTCAACAAATTGGTGCAATCGATATGCGGGAAATTTTGAACAGAGAAATGAGGCAAGAACTTTGCATAAGAAACTAATTGAAATTCCTCAAACGATAATACAAAGAAAGGTACAGGAGTGAACAGCAAGCACGAAAAACGGGTAGAAGAGCAAAAGACCCTAACACAGAGTGAGAACAACTGAATATAAATATGCTGAGGAATTTAGACTTCTTAAACATGAATGGGCTAAGAAATCAAATTTCAGTATTTATTGAACAAATTTTTGTTTCAAAAGGGTTTTTCATGGAATGTTCCAGAAGATAATATGTATATAAATTTCACAGCGAAGATATGGCAGCAGTTCAAGTAACAAAATATGACGCTAAAGGTAAGGTAGCATGCAATGTTAATGTAAGAGACTGATGTCTGTTTTTTTATTAAATAAATGAACGTCAAAACCTCTATAACTTCAGCTTTTATCTTTAAAACTGAATGCATAAAGAATTGAAAAATCCATTTTTAGTACTTAAAGTTCCATCAACATTTATTTACACTGCAATGGCTGATTACAACTCAGTTTTTTAGTTGTCGCATCCGATGCTACTCTTTGTCAGACGCTCAATACGTGTTCCATCTTGGCATGTGAATCCCACGAGCTTGCTAGCCAGCTGAGCTTTGTTAAGAACAATCCAAGAATAATCACAGCCACGGCAGGTTAATGGGTTACCTATAAAAAAAACAAAACTATTATCAGACGTTGTAATTCTCGTACATCTCTTTTTTCTTTAATTTTTTATGGTTCTATTTGCAAAATATTAATCTCTAAAAATAATTTTGTATTGCCTACCTGCAGGAGAATCGAATTCTATGCAAACTATTTAGAAAAATATTATTCTAAATATCTTAGAAAATTTTAGTATTTAAGATAAGGAAAAAAATGATATTAATTTTAAGAAAAGGGAACTAAGCTTGAGTAGCTTTCTTATTATTCTAATAATGGGTGGTTAAGAATGGAGTTTCCAAACTTTTCTGAACTAGGGCATTTCCAAAATTTGGTTTCGAACATATATCTGGGATAGTTTATGAAAAAATTAAATTAAAAAAAATTACATACTTATATTATAGGATGATCTTTAAATGAAATACTCATGTAAAAGTAGACTCATTTGTTGATATAAATTCTAGTTTAAGAGAAAATTACAAATCACAGATATATTTAATAGAAAACCTAAATACATAACCTCTAAATGTATAAAAAATAGGCTTATATTTTATATTAATAAAAATATTTATCAGATTTATAGACATGTACTTCTGATATTGGACTTGAAATTCATTCACTAGAAGAGTAAAACTTAACGGGTTTTTAACGAAAGTTTCCCGCCACCGCAAATATCGTCTAGGTAAACTGTTCACGTTGGCGTATTGAATCATATTTTGTCAAACGATTTTTGGCATTTGAAAGAAAGGGACTTGCTTTAAAACACTGTGTTGTGAAATTTGTAAAGAAGTATCGTTACCATTAAGTACAAGATGTCTGAAATGGAACTATCACGCTACCAGATTAGAACCATCACTTACTTCAAGCTCTGTTGCAAAACCTCAGCTACAAAATGTCACCAAATCATGTATATAGCTTTAGGTACTAATGTTGTATCATATGATACTGCGAAGCCTGGTACCGAAAGTTCAAAAACAAGGACTGTGACATTTAAGAAGCAGAGCGCTCTGGCCGGCCTACTGATGTTGGCGAGGCCTGCCTGCGAGAACTTATGGAAGAAGATCAATTTGCATCTACTCGAAAGCTTGCTAGGGAGTTAGACGTTAGTATCATGTCCATTAGTCGCGCTACTCATCGCATAAACTTGGCGTACAGGCTCAACCGCTGGGTGCCGCATCAGCTGACTCAATGAAATAAGGATAGTCATCTTCGGGCCTGCAACTAATCTGCTCGAATATCAACGCAAGGACAAAATTATGGACCGGATTGTCATTTGTGATAAAAATTAGATTTACTTGAACATCTCAAGCCGAAAAGGGAATTAGTCTGCGTCCGGTTTGCCCGTCGGTAGCGGCGCAAATCTCAATTTGATTAACAAAAAGATCATGCTTTGTATCTGGTGGGATTGCCATTATCCACAAAGAGTATCTGGAAAAAGGTAAAGCCACGGCAGTAATTTGTACAGCGAGATGCTAGTCCGTGTTGATGCTGCTATCAAGGAAAAACGTCGAACTGAGTTCCGGCGCAAAAAGGTAGTGTTCCATCAAGGTAATGCAAGATCACATGTGTCTGCATTCACTGGCTGGACTCTGTGCGGACTCGAATGAGATCTTTTGGTATACCCACCATATAGCCCGAACACCGCTCCTTCAGAATTTTACCTTTTGCTACCTAGCTTCTGTTCTGCACAAGACGTCAGAAATAGAGTTGATCTGTTTTTGGACTTGCGGCCACCAAATTTCTGGGCGGAAGGTTTTTGAAAGCTACCAAAACGTTGGCAGAAAATCATAGATTTGGGTGGTGATTACTACCCGCACTAAAGGTACTGCTGTCATGTTTTCTTTTTTTTTTCTTTTTTTTTTTTTTTAACTAGAACGATGTTTGGCGGAAAGCGTTCATTACAATCAGATAAAATTGGACATTTGGAGTAATATTTGCAGAGTCTTTAGGTTTCTTTTAAGCAAGAAATGAGCAATGTCTTCGCCGCGATTCGAACCTGGACCTTTCGATACGCGCGGAATGTGCTACCGTTACATCACAAAGGCATACAAAGGCATGCGGAAAGAAGGGAGAAAATAACTTATTAAATTCCTCACTATCTTAAATTGATCTTTTCGTCTGTTTATAATACTTTTACTAATGGAAATACATGTTTAATAGCTGCAATGGGTTATGGTACAACCAACAGAAGCATGGAGATGAAAAATAACATAGTCATTAATACTAAAAACATCGTAATAAAACCTCGTCAACCGTATTTCATGGATTTTCCATAAGGGGAGTTATACGGCTAAGTGAAATAAAACTCGTTATTCACAGAATTTTTTTGCACGAAGAATACTAAAGAAAGAAGAAAACTTGCTTGAGAAATTTATTTATTATTTGTAAATCTCTGCGTTTACTAAGCAATTACACATTGATTACATTTGGAAGACTGACTAAAAGCTTTATTTTGTGCCGAATGTCAATATTCTAAGACCACATTATGCACGACGCAAAGAACAAGATCAAAAAGGATCTTGTGTCAGTCAGTGGCAAGCATTTATCAAGGATAGTGAATTATATGGCCGAGTAGGCGTAACAGAAAAACAGGCCGAAAATTTTGGAAAGATTTCACTAAGGGAGTCTTTAAAGTAGAATACAGTTTGTTCTATATTTCTGAGTTACAATTTACAAAACACATTCTTGCATTTTAAATTTGAAGAAATGTTTCTGAAAAGAGCGACTTAAACAGAAAATGAAATTCGATCTTCTTTCGAATTTTTCGCATTAAAACAGACAGTGAGCAGTAAAGGAGGAAGATTATTTCTGTCTATTATGATATTGCAAATAATGACTGAAAACCTTCCAAAATAGAGCAAAAATTTTTTCTATCTTCTAAAAATACAATTATTGAAAAAAAAAGGGGGGGATTGCTAGATCAAAGAATGCATGATAATAATAATATATAAAAATAAAATAAATTCCCTTAAAAATAAGCTTACTCTCAAAAACCTAGTTTACGATGAATTCTCAGTTAACTCAAGACAACTCAATAGGACTCCTGAGATGCTGAACCTCAGAATGATATATATATAATATTTTTTTAATTTTCCTCCTATAATATATAATGTATGTGCAAGTATATATATATATATATATATAAGCAGTTTGCTTTTACTGCTTTATTTTTAATGTAATTATAAAGTGAAATTTATTCAAAACATTTTCTTGTTTTGATTGTTTGCAAAATTTATACTTTGCATTAATAGAATTGCTTTATAAGAATTTGCACATTTCTCGTAATCGTATCTTTTAGCTGGGTTTTACAGTTAAAAATTAATTTATTCAAAACATTCTCTTATCTGTATTTTTCTGCATATTTCAAAATTATTTCCAATTTTTTTTGTTAATTTAATTAAAATATTGCAGTCTATTTACATTTTCGGCCTATTGGAATTGTGCTGGTGAATGCACAGTTTCGCTTTTATATGATTTATGTATTAAGCATAATTGTGCGTCGGTTTGCTCATAAACGCGCTTATTCTTTTCATTTATCGGTGCACCAACCCTTTGAAGAAGATATCTTCTTCAAGGGGTTGGTGCAAAGATATACTCTCTTTGAAGACGATACCTTTTTTCAATGGGACGGTATCTTCTTCTAAAAAGTTTACATTTCCTAGTATACACCATTATGTCTGTAAATAATTTTCTCCCCCCCCCTCCTATTTTTTCATTTGATTAGTTTTACAGTCACTTTATACAGTGGATTTTGCATTATTTGCCCTTTTTCGTCTTTCATTGTTACCAAACGCATTATATTTACATCTACTTTGAATTTAATTATTTTGAATTACTTTGAATTAAAGCAGCCAATTTACTGGAGTTTCAAGTAATTTGGCTTTGGGAATTTTGGACGTAATTTTTTATTATTCTCAGATTTATTTACGTTAAACAATGGGAGACACAAAATTTCTGCTTCTCAACGCAAAATTAAGATAGTAATTTGATCTAAATATTTCTGAAGAAGAGTGGCATTTTCTAAAAATAGCCAAATACTCCTCACTAGATAACTAAATGTCACATAAAAGCTCCTATTGGAGGTATTTAAGCGTGGAATAATCACATTAAAATGAAACATTTTACCCTACCTTGTTATATATAGATACGCCTCATACGGAATGATTATGTAGCGTTTTATAATGCTACGCTTTTAATACGATCCAAAAATTTTACATAAATTCAATTACTATTAAATTCGTGCGACATATAAAAGAATGCATAACGTCTTAAATTCTTCTGTACGGTTACAACACATTTACAAACAAATATATAACTCCACTGAGATATAACTGTACGCTAAAATTTACTTATCCCTACCTGTGCTGATGCAAATAAATTTTTTCTTGGGGGGGGGGAGATATTCTTACAGCTTCGAAAAATGAATCATTTTATCTGAGGGGAAAAGGAATATGTTTCAGATGTATTAATTTTTTACTTGCAAGCACTTTGCACTACATGTAGCCGCACTTTGTTAAAAATTTTGAATACCGTAATTGCATTTGCTCAAGAAAAGGTCGGTACAACGGTTCATATATATGCTTATATTTTTCGATTCACGCACAGGTAAGAGTATGACCATTAATGGAATATTTATACTTTCATTTCAAAGAGTTATTGGCATATCAGCACTTCATCAACTAAAATAAAGGAATTAGATCTATATTTTACATTATAAGCTATGAGCGTTTGATAGTTATTTTCAGATTTAAAACCCTAAATGAAGTGTCCTTTCGTGCAATATCTCAGTGCGAGGCCCATGTCATCTGCAATGCACGCCCTGCAGGCGCCTATGGCTTGCCGTAGCAAGGCAGGGGACATTCCGGGGTTCGACTTGTCCCCACGTTCAGATCGATAAAGGGAACGCTTACTTAGGTACTTATTCCTCGAAGAGTTACAGAATTGGTCCCACAGGAAAGTACCAGCTGGATTGTATTGCATCTTTTCTGGATTTGGCTATTGTCTAA